GCCAGCACATCAACGGCGGCTGCAAGAAGGTCATCATCTCGGCGCCGCCCAAAGACAGCACGCCCATGTACGTCATGGGTGTCAACCACGACAAGTACGACGGCTCGGCGCACGTCGTCTCGAACGCCTCGTGCACGACCAACTGCCTCGCTCCGCTCGCAAAGGTCATCCACGACCACTTTGGTATCATTGAAGGCTTGATGACGACGGTGCACGCGGTGACGGCCAACCAGCTCACGGTCGACGGTCCGTCGCGCGGCGGCAAGGACTGGCGCGCCGGTCGCGGCGCCGGCGCCAACGTGATTCCGGCTTCGACGGGCGCGGCCAAGGCCGTCGGCAAGGTGCTGCCCGAACTGAACGGCAAGCTCACGGGCATGGCGTTCCGCGTGCCGGTGCCCGACGTCTCGGTCGTCGATCTCACGGTGCGTCTCGAACGCGGCGCGTCGCTCGCAGCGATCAAGGCAGCCGTCAAAGCAGCGTCCGAAGGTCCGATGGCCGGCATCCTCGGCTACACCGAGGACGAGGTCGTGTCGCAAGACTTTGTCTCGGACAAGCGCTCGTCCATCTTTGACGCCAACGCGTGCATTGCGCTCAACGACAACTTTGTCAAGCTCGTGTCGTGGTACGACAACGAGTGGGGCTACTCGAACCGCCTCGTCGACCTCGTCTTGCACATGGCGACGATCGACCAAAAGTAAGATCGTAGCTGCACACTCGCGACGCGGACGATCGAAGGACGCAAGAAGACGCGACAGCAGTTTGCACTGATTTTTATGGCCGGCGGAAGCGCACGCCGGGCCTCGTAGCTCGTTACGTAGCTCACTATTGATTATACACACCGTACTATTGCAACCTTTGTCTACGAAAGAAGGTAGGTTCTACTAAAGAAGTAGTTTTGTGGTGGAGTGGCATGGGTGCTTGCAGGGACGCAAGGTAGGATCGAGTCCAGCAATGGCGTCCAGCGGGGACTACGATGGAGGTGATTAGGGTAGGTCTAGGGCTAGAGGAGCAAGCTCCAAGGCAAGAGACGATCGTAGAGGCAAGGATAATGAACTTACGAGTCCACAAACGCTGCACTGCGGCTGAGTCTACAGCTTGCGCTTGGTCTGTTGTTGGGTCAAGCTGTGTAGTAGCAGGACGCAAGGCAGGATCGAGCCGGCAGTTGGTATTGGTAGCATTTATGGTAATAGCATTGATGGTAAAAGCGATTTGGCAGGAATTGTGAAGCGAAAGCTTCAGAATCGACACCATGCGCCTCAAGACCGACAGCGATCGGCGCTGAGCGCAACGAGTTTAATTGACTATTTTCCTTTTGGGATTTAGGTGTAATTTTTGGCGCTGTAGGCAGATTGGGCAGTCTCATGAATACCTTCGCAGGTCGTTGATTTCCCACTTGTATACTTAGTGGTCACTACCCAATCGCACAAAGGAGTTGGCGTTGCAGGCCCACAGCCCAAACCTTTGAAAATACATAGATCGCGGCCGCTGCCGGTATCATTTCCGAGAGGTCCAAACTGCAACATGAGCGGCGAGACAGTGTGCGTGACGGGCGGCTCGGGCTTCCTCGGCTCGTATGTCGTCAAGCTCCTGCTCGAGAGAGGCTACCGCGTCAAGACAACCGTGCGCAATGTACAGGATGCCAAGAAGGTCGCGCATCTGCGCGCACTACCCGGCGCTGCCGAGCGCCTTGAGCTCTGCCAGGCCGACCTCCTCGAGGTACCAGCGACGCAGATGGCCACGCACCTTGACGCATGACCCGTTGGCGTAGGAAGGCTCGTTTGACAAGGCGATCGAAGGCTGCGTAGGCGTCTTCCACACGGCGTCGCCCTTCTTCGTCAAGAACCAGACGCGCGACGCTCTTGTCGTGCCCGCGGTCCAAGGCACCCTCAACGTCCTCCGCTCGTGTGCGCGCCACGCGACCGTCCGGCGCGTCGTCTTGACTTCGTCCATGGCGGCCATTTACGTGCATTGCGACACGCTGCCCGACGACCATGTTGTATGGCCTTTCGATCCTCTGTCGCCGCTTATCTCATTGCATGCTGTAGTTTACCGAGGCTGACTGGAGCCACGAAGATCGGATGGAGAAGCTCGGGCTGTGGTACTGCCTCAGCAAGACGGTCGCTGAGCGCACGGCGAACGCGTTTATCGCCGAGACGCAGCCGGCCTTTGACCTCGTCGCCATGTGCCCGACGCTCATCTTGGGCCCGATGCTGCCGCCGTCCATGAACGAGAGCAGCGACAAGATCTTCAAGCTCGCGAATGGCGACACCAAAGTGCTGTCGCTGGCGGGACGCACGCTCGTCGACGTACGTGACGTGGCGCTCGCGCACGTCGTTGGCTTTGAAAAGCCCGAGGCCAATGGCCGCTACATGCTCGTGAGCTGCTTCGCGACCGACCAGGAGATCGTCGATGGGATGCGCCGCGTCGACCCGACCATCACCGTGACGGCGACCGCGTCACCTGGACAACCCGCGCCGCGCATCAACTTTGACACCAACAAGGCGCGGACGGGGCTCGGGATTACGTTTCACTCGCTGGACGCGATGCTTGAAGGGACGTGCGTCAGCCTCCACGAGCACAAGTTTCTCGGAGCCAGCTAGTATACAACCAGAATTTATACTCTACACTCGATTCTATTCGCGATGGACATATCCTGAAACAAATTATTGCTGTTTGCAGGTCGGTTCCGACTCGACGACGGATGGTGTTGTGCTCGCCGCCGACAGCAGCGCCGAGCGCGGACGGGCTGTCGCTTGAGCAGCGATCGTCGGGTTCGGTCGACCGAGCGACGGCGGCGAGACGGCGTCGATCGGCCGCTTCCTTCCGAGTACCGACTCGGTCGACTCTCTCTCTCGTCGTGCTTCGCGGAGTTGAAGGCTGCTGTTCTTCTCCTTCAAGAGCTTGAGCTCCTGCGCCATCGTGCTGCTGCTGCACCGGAGTTGGTGGTTGTCTTGGACGACTACAGCCGCCGTTAGATACAACACCAATGGCTTGCGTACGTTGGGTCTTGATCAAGAGCAGCTCCCGCAGCTTGTTGCCTTCTTCCTCATACAAGAGCTGGAGTCGGCGCAGCCCTTCTTGCTGTCTATCTCCAGTGTTAAAAGATTGGCAAGCTCAGTAGCTAGTACCCCAACACGGCGATCGCCGCCGTACGTCGGCACGAACAGTCGCGCAGTTGCTACATAAACTGAGTTGTCGTGGCGGAGACGTGGCCACACGTACTGTCTGGAGCGCGACATAGCTCGTCTGCAGCTTCTTGAACTCGGCCTTGAGCAACTCGAGCTCATCGTTCATGAGCTTGAGCTGCTTGTCGGTCTCGGGGTCGCGCGCGTCGGCGATGCCGTGGTGCTGCATCCGTTCGCGCTCGGCCGCCCGACTGCGCGCTTCCATGCGGGCAAACCGAGCCTCGGCAAACTCAAGCTCGCGACCTTTTGCTGCCAACGCGGCGGCGTGGTGGGTCTCGAGGTCGTGCACGTACTTCCTCCCGGCTTGCTCCATTGTCCGTAGCTTTGTGAGCTGCGCTTCGGCAGCGCTGAGGCGGCCCGCGGTCTCTGCAAGCGCCGTCGTCTTGGCCTCGAGCGCGGTCTCGAGCGTCACAGCGCGTGCGTCGACCGCGGCCTTCTCGGTCACTTGAGCTTCCAGCTCCGCATTACGATCCACGAGTACGTCATGGGCAGTTTGCTGCGTCTTCATGTCGGCCCGAAGGGCATCAATGTCGGCTGTGAGCTGTGCGCACGTCTCAGTCTTGGCAGCGACCTCGCAGTGCAGCTCCATCTGAACCGCTTGGTCCTTGGCCCACTCGTTCGCCATGTTATCGTGGGCTGTTTGGAGTCGCGCAATCGCCAGCGCCAAGGACGCGTTAGCTGCCTCCATGCAGCGCGTGTCGTGTCGCGCCGCGTCGAGCTGCCACCGCGTTCCGTCCACGTCTTCGGTGAGCATCGCCGTAGCTTCCAACAAGCGCTCTGCCTGCGATTTGAGCTCGGCGTTTTGCGCGCGCTGCGCCTCGAGTTCGTGCTGCATGTCGTGGTTGACGTGCTGGAGGATCGACACCTTGGACTCGAGCATCTCGCGTTGGACCTCAAACTCACTGCGTAAGCTGGCCTTCTCAGTCTCGGCGGCAACGGCGTCGCGCTGATGATCGGCGTACGCTTTCTCCAGCTCGTTGACGTTTGCTGCCAATGTCGCTTCTGTCGCGCGAAGTGTCGTATCGAGCGTGTGCGCAGAGGCTTGCAGCGCCGCATGCATCTCGTCAAGCGCCGTGCAAGCATCCGTCTGGCTGGTCAAGCTGGCCGTGAGCGAGGCGACGGCGGCGCGGAGCACAGTCATGTCGGCGTCCTTGGCCGACCCCACCGCGACGAGATTTTGGATCTGAGCGTCACGGGCAGCGACGTGGGCTGCAGCCTCGGTCTCGAGACGCGCGTACTGCTGAGCGGCGTCATCCACGCTGCGTTCGTGCGTCTCTGCCAGCGTCGCCAAGGCAGTTGTTGTCGTATTGAGCTTGTCCTGGAGCGTCTCGCACTGCGCTTCGAGGTCGGCGTGGGTGAGACGAAGCGACTCGATCGTTTTCTCTTGGTCGGTGCACTGCGCGGCCATGACCTCGAGCGCATCTTGGGTCGCAAAGTACTTGGTTTCAAACGACCTTTTCACTCGCGTGAGCGCATCGAGCTCTTCGAGGAGCGACTCGACTCGGTCGGCGGCCTCGGCGCTGAGCTGTTTCTTGAGGCGGGAGTTCTCGTGCTGGAGCGCGTCCATCTTTTCGAGCATGCCATGGTCGAGTTCGAGTCGCTCGCCGCTGATTGCGACGGGCTGCCCGTCTTGCAGCTGCGCCAACGTCGCTTGCAGGTCGTCGCGGAGGCTTTGCTGGCGCTGGGCTTCGAGCCGGGCAGCGTCGAGGTCGGCGCGTAGCTCTAAGCGCTCGTGCTCGCGCCGGGCCATGGTTGCTTCCATCTCGCTCATGCGCACCGCCTACGCACATAATAGCCGTTGATATAGAGGACAGGACGTGGAAGGATATATACCATGGTGGCCATGGCGTCTTTGGCCTCTTCGAGCTTGCGGTGGACGGAGTGGAGACGCGACAACTGCGTTTCTTGCGCCAGTACCTTGTCGGAGAGCTCGGCGTTCTTCTCTTCCAAGCGCTTGTTGCACTCCTTGAGACGCGGAAGCTCGTCGATCTTGAGCTTGTACTTTTCGAGCCGCGCCTCGAGCTTCGTGGCCTTGGCGGCCGTCGCGCGGACAACATCCATTTCGTCCTTGAGCGCGGCCAAGTCCGTCTCGACGTGGATCAGCGTATGGCTCTTCTGCTGCGCGATGGCCACGTCGTTTTGCAACTGCTTGATGAGATCGCGGTACTGTTCCTTGAGCGCACGCTCGTGCTTGGCCATATCCACGTCCATCTGGAGCCGCGCCGTCTCATAGTCGGCTTGGCGCTTGGCGTCGTCGGCTTCAAGGCGGGCGGCCGTCGCCTTTCGGTCCTCGGCGTCTTGCAAGAGCGTCGTGACTTCTTCCTTGAGCATTGCGTTCTCTCGCGCGAGCCGGTGCATCTCGCTGCGGGTGCTCGACGACGTGCGGTCGTCCCCCTGGCTGCCAAGCGGCGACGTCTCTTGGGCGCCGTGGGCCATCGTGGTTGTCGGGCGCGGGGATGGCGGCGCATCGGGCTCGGATACGGACAGCGAAACCTGCGAGAGGACCTCGCACACTGCCTCCTGGACGTCGGATGCCATGTTGATGATGTCCTGTACGAAGGTGGCCTTTTGGACGCTGTGGAAGGCAGCGATGCAGAGTGCCTCGAGCAGCGCGCGGAGCTCCTTCGCCGCCGCAGGCGTGCACTCGGTCGGCTTCATGGCGAGCGTGAAGCTAGGCAGGTGGTCCCAGCTCAGGTACGACTTCATCTGGAGCTCCTTGGCGTGCGTGTTGAGGAGCACGGCCGGGCCTCGCCACTCGACGACGCTGTCTTCCTTGGCGCGGATCGCATCGAGCTCCGTCGGGTAGGCCTCCATCAGGACGGCGCTGACGCAGTCGCTCAGGCGCGCGTCCGTCGCCGGTGCGTAGGAGACGACCCACGCCCAGAGCTGCTCCATTGCCGATTCGCCAAGTGGGATTCCTCTCACGCGAATATCCCCATTTTGGCCAATCGGTGCGCAGGAAGCATCCGCATAAATTGGTTATTCGGACGATACACTGGATTTGAAAATTCAAACGCAATCTCGGCGCTGGATCGCTACGTGTACACTGCTTTGGCATGGCTCAAGGAAGGACGTCAGGTACAGTGTTTTCTAAAACGCAATGTCGCGTGTTGGTCAACTAGTCGTTCGCAGTCGAAAGCTGCGGTCGTTACCAGAAACGCTGTATGTCAATTCTCCCGCCAATTAGTGTATGATGTCGTTAGATTATCGCAAGAGATAATTGCGTCGCTCGGGTGTGGTCGACACATTTTGGGGTCAAGAGTTCCTCCACAAAGTCATTCACCTCAGTGCAGAAATGCCATTCGATAGTCATGCGGCTGAGGAATCAATGTCGATGGTGGCGCAGTGGCATCGGCCTATGACTTCGGAGTGGGCACAAGTACTGTTTGTTCCATCGACCGTCTCGGCTCGATGAGGATGACAAGACACCTACTCCAATTCGTCCTTCGGAGGCGGCTACACATGCCAAGTATTTGTTGTTGCTATGACGTAGCTTGCTCGTCTTGACAGCAAGTTGCCGCTCCCAGCAGCGCTTCAACTCTAAAGCTAGACAGTTGGTGCTCGATTTCAGATACACAAATTGTTGAAAAGCAAAAATCATGGTTCAATATGTTCTTTACGCCATCGAGACGAATGCTGGCAACGTGTCCTTCGGGCCAAAGGCGCAGACCTTCGGCTCGTACGTGTTGGTATGCGTTGCCATTTGAGCGATCGCACAGCAGTTGCAGAAGAGACCGCAGGCAAAGTCTTCGAAGAGCGAGCCTGGAATCGAGAGCTTCTTGCGAACGTCGGC